CTGTAATAGTCCAGGATCTGAAATTTGTAGTATCCTGATACCCAGGGGATTTAGATACGAATTTGGTTTTGGATACCAAACTGTGAATGACTTCTGACCAACTGGATACTGAGTAAATTTTAAACATTAGGAAAGTGTTAGGCACATCTGACAGTCTCCTGATAGCTGTTGAAAACAACAGTATTTGAGTTTGTCACTCAAGCCTTTCCTCATTTGAATCTCCTGTTGTTATTGAATCTCCTGTTGTTATAATTGTAATTTGTAACAGTGAGAGTTATGGAAAATTATTTGGATGGGACAGTGTATAATACTTATGGTAATCAGTATCCAGAAATGGGATATTGGATTAAAGGGGGGGGGGATGCTAAACTTTGAAACCTGGTATAAAATTTAAGTTTCAGACCCTGGTATAATACTGTACAATAATATGGTAGGATACAACATGTTAGATATTACAATGCCATCATTCATTATATCCTTTAATCAAACAATGTAAACAACACAGTACAACACATTGATGGGTGTTCACTTCAAATTCATAATTTATAATTTCGACCTCTGAACATCTGAAAATGAAGATGTTTTTCCCTCAAACTTTCAACATTTTCTTTGTTGATTCCTGCTTTCGGTTTGTAATAGTTTTTGTAGTCCCTAAGGAAACTCTCACGCGGGAGAATCAAGGCACTACTGTTTTGCAGTTCACGATATGCACTAGCAGTTTTAGCATGATGTGACAGGGCGAACCGGATAATTTGGGGGTGATATCTTCTTCCCATCTTGCTTGTTTGAAGAAGCCTTATCTGCTGCTCCCAGATCGAAAAACTTCATGTGTGGATTTTCTTGAAGGCTTTTTCCAGCCATGATTTTAAGGAGAACAGTTCCTGACCCTAAAGAACATTGTGATGTAGGATCAATAACAAGTGGTTGCCTTTCATCATCATATTGAGGCAACCTGTTGCATAATAATGACTTTTCAACTGCTTTCAACAGTTCTAAAATATTGGCGTATCGAACAGTTTGTCTAAATTCCTGATAGACACTATGGTTTTTTGAAAGGGGCCAGTTGTATACCATGACTGAGATTTCCAAGCTATTGTCCACCTCCAAGGAGTATTTTGGTAAACAATGTAAATTTTCAAATAATTCATTCGCTTCACATGTTTGAAGGGAGCTTTAGTTTATTGCGGCTTGAGTCTCGACAAATAGGAGAATCTTTTGAGAGATTTTGCTCACGTCATCTAATACAACTATTTGTGGATGCACGTTACGAGTGAGATTTTTATACATTTATTAGACCATAGGCTGCCCAAAAGTGCGTGTTGTAATTTTTACCCTCGCGCGTGGCGCTCGGGCGTGCATCGAAATCGAGTCTACTCAGTTTATTATTATGACAAGGTTGGCAAGAGTTTTAACGGAAATTTATTACAACGTTTACTAGAGTATGAATATTTCGCAAATTACAAACAAAAACAATATAAACTTTACATCATTTCAAACACTGGTAATTTTACTACATTCTCTCAAAGTTTTAACTTCAAAAGTTCATTCTAAGGTTGTTAAAAAAGCGAATTATTTTCAGGTTTTTTGCAAAATTTTGTCAAGACTATGCTGGGGTCACGTACCCTGTGGTGATGTCATATTTTTTAAATCTTGAAGAAGCGTTGATTCGCTGTTGTACACGATTCCAGTACAACAGCGAATCAACGCTTCTTCAAGATTTAAAAAATATGACATCACCACAGGGTACGTGACCCCAGCATAGTTTTGACAAAATTTTGCAAAAAACCCGAAAATAATTCGCTTTTTTAACAACCTTAGAATGAACTTTTGAAGTTAAAACTTTGAGAGAATGTAGTAAAATTACCAGTGTTTGAAATGATGTAGATTTTATATTGTTTTTGTTTGTAATTTGCGAAATATTCATACTCAAGTAAACGTTGTAATAAATTTCCGTTAAAACTCTTGCCAACCTTGTCATAATAATAAACTGAGTAGACTCGATGCACGCCCGAGCGCCACGCGCGAGGGTAAAAATTACAACACGCACTTTTGGGCAGCCTATGATAAAACTAAACTGCCTTTAACTATTACATGGCTTTATCGATAAACTTTGAGTTTGCAATAAAATGATTTCAAATTCTCGCTTGCAAATCAACTTTGCTTTATTTTTTATTCAAAAAATTCAATATAATAAAAAAGGGAATCAGTATTAAAGATACACTGAAATTATATGCTGTCTTGTTTAGTTGTTTCATATACGCAAAGGCCGTCGGGTTTTAAAGTCATTATAAAATCAATATTTAAAACAAACTTACCTTCGTTAACGTCGGCTCCCTTCTTTTAGCTGATTCTTTCGCCCTTTCTTTCTTGAAATTTACAAAATCTTGCAGAAAATGAAGAATATTTGCAAGAAATTTATCAATCATCAACTCATCAAATCAAGAAATGTTTGCTATTTCGCTGTCGTCATGCAGTCGTTATAATGCAAACTTTAAATTGGACCAATCAGTGTCCGTTATTCATGACAGTCCGCCATATTTTGAGATCAGTGAGGATGACCACCCATCGTTGGTGACCGACGCCCGCGATATTTGATGAACTTTAGACTCCGCTAATGCTTTCGTTTCCCCGGGTGTAAATAGCCGGGGGGAATTAGTACCCTCGCACGGCGCTTCGCGCCGCCGGCTCGGGGACAAGATTCGACCCTGACCTTGGACAAAGCTATAGACATAGCCAGGACACACGAAGCCACAAGTACACAATTGGCAGATATCAAGGGTCCCAGCAACTCAATACATGGCATAGAACATAAGAATCGTAAGAAACAGCAACAGCAAACCCTAGATAAAAGCAGCATGAAAGTACAACCCTCCACTCTGTGAGGGTTGTCCAATACTGTATAGAGATTCTCCATCGGCATAGGCGTACCGGGCGGGGGGGCGGTAGCCCCCCCCAGTTTTTTGGGCAGTCGGGCAATATTCGATCAACAGTCGGGCGATTTTGGTACGCAATAAAAAAATGGGCCAAATTATGTTCATTTGGGCTAAAATCAAGTAAATTTTTTGGCAAATTTTGTGATTTTTCGAAAATTTGTGTTATGTTCGGAAAAATATTGGTTGTCCGGAAAAATTTTTTGACCCCTAAAATGGCACACTGACCGAAATTTTTTTGGCGACGGGGGGGGGGGAGGTCGCCAAAATAATTGTTCCGGAAAAAATTTTTTTGTACTGCTCGGGCAGAATCCCAAAAAGTCGGGCAATTTTCATTCCGCCCCCCTAATTTTTTCCTTCCGGTACGCCCATGTCCATCGGTACCGATGGAGAAATGAATTCACCATCGGTAAATTTGAAAAGTCCGTTCGTGAATGAGGTAGTTAGCAATATTGCTATGGCATAAGTTAGCCCTTCAAAACACTGTCCGTCGGTACCGTCGGTACCGATGGTAAGCCAATTCACCATCGGTAAATAGAGATTCTCCATCGGTACCGATGGAGAAATGAATTCACCATCGGTAAATTTGTAAAGTCCGTTGGTGAATGAGGGAGTTAGCATTAGTGAGAGAGGCTAAGGTGGCCCTCCAAAACACTGTCCGTCGGTACCGTCGGTATCGATGGTAAGCCAATTCACCATCAGTAATTAGAGATTCTCCATCGGTACCGATGGAGAAATGAATTCACCATCGGTAAATTTGTAAAGTCCGTTGGTGAATGAGGGAGTTAGCATTAGTGAGAGAGGCTAAGGTGGCCCTCCAAAACACTGTCCGTCGGTACCGTCGGTACCGATGGTAAGCCAATTCACCACCGGTAATTAGAGATTCTCCATCGGTACCGACGGAGAAATGAATTCACCATCGGTAAATTTGAAAAGTCCGTTGGTGAATGAGGTAGTTAGCATTAGTGAGAGAGGCTAAGGTGGCCCTCCTAAACGCTGTCCGCCGGTACCGTCGGTACGGATGGTAAGCCAATTCACCATCGGTAATTAGAGATTCTCCATCGGTACCGACGGAGAAATGAATTCACCATCGGTAAATTTGTAAAGTCCGTTGGTGAATGAGGGAGTTAGAATAGTGAGAGAGGCTAAGGTAGCCCTCCAAAACACTGTCCGTCGGTACCCTCGGTACCGATGGTAAGCCAATTCACCATCGGTAATTAGAGATTCTCCATCGGTACCGATGGAGAAATGAATTCACCATCGGTAAATTTGAAAAGTCCGTTGGTGAATGAGGGAGTTAGCATTAGTGAGAAAGGCTAAGGTAGCCCTCCAAAACACTGTCCGTCGGTACCGTCGGTACGGATGGTAAGCCAATTCACCATCGGTAATTAGAGATTCTCCATCGGTACCGACGGAGAAATGAATTCACCATCGGTAAATTTGTAAAGTCCGTTGGTGAATGAGGGAGTTAGAATAGTGAGAGAGGCTAAGGTAGCCCTCCAAAACACTGTCCGTCGGTACCCTCGGTACCGATGGTAAGCCAATTCACCATCGGTAATTAGAGATTCTCCATCGGTACCGATGGAGAAATGAATTCACCATCGGTAAATTTGAAAAGTCCGTTGGTGAATGAGGGAGTTAGCATTAGTGAGAAAGGCTAAGGTAGCCCTCCAAAACACTGTCCGTCGGTACCGTCGGTACGGATGGTAAGCCAATTCACCATCGGTAATTAGAGATTCTCCATCGGTACCGACGGAGAAATGAATTCACCATCGGTAAATTTGTAAAGTCCGTTGGTGAATGAGGGAGTTAGAATAGTGAGAGAGGCTAAGGTAGCCCTCCAAAACACTGTCCGTCGGTACCCTCGGTACCGATGGTAAGCCAATTCACCATCGGTAATTAGAGATTCTCCATCGGTACCGATGGAGAAATGAATTCACCATCGGTAAATTTGAAAAGTCCGTTGGTGAATGAGGGAGTTAGCATTAGTGAGAAAGGCTAAGGTAGCCCTCCAAAACACTGTCCGTCGGTACCGTCGGTACGGATGGTAAGCCAATTCACCATCGGTAATTAGAGATTCTCCATCGGTACCGACGGAGAAATGAATTCACCATCGGTAAATTTGAAAAGTCCGTTGGTGAATGAGGTAGTTAGCAATATTGCTATGGCATAAGGTAGCCCTCCAAAACGCTGTCCGTCGGTACCGTCGGTACGGATGGTAAGCCAATTCACCATCGGTAAATAGAGATTCTCCATCGGTACCGATGGAGAAATGAATTTCCCATCGGTAAATTTGAAAAGTCCGTTGGTGAATGAGGTAGTTAGCATTATTGCTATGGCATAAGGTAGCCCTCCAAAACACTGTCCGTCGGTACCGTCGGTACCGATGGTAAGCCAACTCACCATCGGTAAATAGAGATTGTCCATCGGTACTGATGGAGAATTTAATCCACCATCGGTAAATAGGCACAGTCCGTTGGTGAATGACGTAATTATAAGGCAACGTCGCATCCAGGCTGTTATGAAGCACGCAAGCTCTCTCTTGTTAGCGTGGGTGCGAGGTTGAGTATCAGGTAGTCCTCGAAAACGTTGTCCGTCGGTACCGTCGGTACCGATGGTAAGGCAATTCACCGTCGGTAAATACGTATTGTCCGTCGGTAGAATCGTCTCGAACAACGTTGCGAAAATGTATTATATGATTATACTATACTGTACTGTAGCCTATATTGTGATTTCGTGCAGATGGAGACAGATATCATCAACATTGATACACGATGCGTAAATGCGCTATAACTACTTATTATATATAAACGCTATAGTCTCTATAGGTTAGGACCTACAAATATTTGTCGTTTAATACTGATTAGCATTTTATATATACATGTAGTGGCTTCAGGGAATTATTACATGCAATTTATTCACGTCGTTTAAAAAGTTCGGTTTATTAAATTCTTCGCAATGTATCAAATATATAAACGCGTACAGGTCCTACTGAGTACTAGTCAATAGCAACAGACTACAACAGATTAAACACGTTTGAGGAATATAATAATATATAGCCTACAATAGTGAAAATATATAATCATAGCCGCAAGTCTATGCCCATAATATATATGAATACAGAATCAGTGTTTTTCAAATATGGGATAGTCTTCCTTTAGTCACCCAGGAAAAATTATAATTTAAAGACAGTGCGGCTCATGACTCTCAACTACAATATGCGCACAGCCATAAATTACTAATTAATATTGATTAATTTGCCCACAAAATATTTAGTAGACTGCAGGTAAGGCATGATTGAAATATAATAATTAAGAATGCTTCCAAAGGCAGGACAGTGTACTTTGAACGTATTAATAAATGAATTGTTAAACAGTCAAGTAATAAACAATAAGTAATATATCACAAGAAACAAACTTGACTCAGTTTGAGTCCTGGGTGAGCTCCCGCTGTGTGAGTTATAAACGCCAATATAGTTGACGCAGCTGTTTTCAGTTTCAAATTACTGATATACTGTAAACTTAAAGTTTACCGTCGCTGTATTTTTAAAATCCATGGCGAAATAAAACATTTAGATAGTAAACTCGAACGAATTAACCCGGGTATACTTGTCACATTAATGACATTGTTGAAGACCATTGTTAGTGTTGAAGGTGATGACATTGTGTAGGCTCTGAACAAACAGATTAATTTTCCCTAAAAGTCTAAAATCGAAACAGATTTACTTTGTCTTAAAATTGTAAATTTGCAATCCTTATTTTCGACGCTTATAATTTCTTGTAATGTAAGTGCGCTGTCCAACAAGTCTAGGTGGTTTGCCATAATTGTAAAAAAATATGGGCACGACAATTTGCGGATAAAGTTGAGACAACTGTTGTGCAGTGGAAGAAAGCGGTGCGTGGAATGAAAATATGGACGACGCTATAACAGAGGGCTATGTTGTGTGCAATGACGTAGGTGCAACGGAAATATTTAGTTGACATTAATGGGTGACATTGATGTCGCTTTGTTTGAAAATTGACAGGCATGAAGACTAGCTTTGCCGGGCTTTGCCTTTGGCATGAGAACTCTTAAATATGTAGAATAGGAATTATAAAAAGGAATATAGGTTATAAGATTATGAATTTTGCACGATTATAAATATTAGATAACAATGTATGATAACTGTAATTGGTAATGAGTGGTTGCAGTAGAAATGAAGTGATATCATGCATGAAAATGGGAAATATTTGTGGTATTAAACATACCAGCACGGTTGGTAATTGAATGAATGGGTGAAGAATGGTGGAACATAGGTCATAGATCCTTGGCTGAAACACTTAATCTGGAAATGAACTATATAGAATATTCAGCTGCATTCAAAAGGTATAAGTTAAAACTGAAAGTTTACTGTCAGTCTTAGTTGTATTTTTTTAAATCCAAAGTGAAATAAAACATTTAGATATTAAACTCGAACGAATTAACCGGCGTACTTTATAGTTAGCTTGGCTGTCTCTGGTAGTACGCTGGAATTCATGCAGATCGCTAGCCGATTTATAGAAAAGTGTAATTTCATCTTGACGAGTTTGATATGAAACTTGGAATCTTGGATATGCAGTCGGAATGGGAAATGCAATTTCGCTTGTCAAAAACGTTATCTCTGTAAACTTGTCACATTAATGACATTGTTGAAGACCATTCATTGTTACTGTTGAAGGTGATGACATCATGTAGGCTCGGAAGGACACTAATGAAAACATGCCGGTGATATTAAAAAGCTAGAATAAGTTGTATGGGAACAGATTAATTTGCCCTAAAATTGTAGAATTGCATTCCTTATATTGGACGCTTATAATTTCTTGTAATGTAAGTTATTTTGAAAAGAAATTATTGTTTATATAAATAGGGCTGCAAAATATAGTAAAATATGCCACGTTTGGAGGAAAGGTCCTTATAGCCGTTGCCGGCAAAACGTTTTGTATGTTCCCCTATTTACATGCTGACGTAGTGACGTACGTGGCACGACGCAATATTGGTAATATATCATGGGGTAGCAGGCAGCGATTGGAAGAGTTTCTAGCGATTTAGAAAAAGAAATCCCAAAGCGAAATATATTAAAATACGATTTTGGTGTTTGCAAATAGTATAGGGTTAGACAAATGGCAGAAAAATATAAAAGTGGACGACGACGACGACGACGACAAAGGTTTATTTTTGATACTCCTTAATTTGAAATATTCACACGAACGCGCGCACGGTGTCAATTGAATTTGTGTCAATGTGCGCATAACAATGTCAATTAAACGATATGACGATCTTGTAGGAAGGTTTAATGGAAAGGGTATAAGATGGCATGTATTTTTGTAAAGGTTCTCGATTGTAAAGGTTAAGGATTTTTTATATTGTATATAGGAAGAAAGGAACAGTATATCATAGCAATGCATTGCCTGTAATACTGTATGTTTAAGTTATTTGCAATAGTATATAATAATATGATAAATTAATATGTTGCGGTGTGTTTATTTAATAACGATGCTGAGGTATAATTATTGTAATATATGGCGTACTTGTGATATACGACGCAACAGTATATGCTAGGACGAAAGAGCGTGATATTATGTATTGTGGGAACAATGATATATTGCGGGTTATTTATGAGAACGAAGAATCGATATATGTTTCAAATAGTGGACAGTATATATGATGAATATAAGATATCGCGAGTTTGTTTTAAGTCATTTTATAGAATTATAGTAAGAGTAACAGCATCGTGTTTGTTTGTTTGTTTGTTTGTTTGTTTGTTTGTTTGTTTGTTTGTTTGTTTGTTTGTTTGTTTGTTTGTTTGTTTGTTTGTTTGTTTGTTTGTTTGTTTGTTTGTTTGTTTGTTTGTTTGTTTGTTTGTTTGTTTGTTTGTTTGTTTGTTTGTTTGTTTGTTTGTTTGTTTGTTTGTTTGTTTGTTTGTTTGTTTGTTTGTTTGTTTGTTTGTTTGTTTGTTTGTTTGTTTGTTTGTTTGTTTATTAAGAAAGACGCAACAAAATATATGGTAATAATATATTTATAGGCCTATTTATTGCGAGTTATTTACGAGAACGGAGAATCCATACATGTACATGATTTTGACAGCGGTAGGCTATATATGAATATAAGATATCGCGAGTTTGTTTAAGTATTAATCTACGGGGCTACAGTTATCAGTTGAAAATACCAGTGGTAAATCAATTGCGGGTTATTTACGAGAACGAGGAATCCATATATGATTTTGACCGGCAGCGGTATATGAATCATAAGATATCGCGAGTTTGTTTAAGTCTTAATATACAGGACTATGTACTTATCAGTTGAAAATACCGATAGTAAATCAATTGTGGGTTATTTACGAGAAAGAGAAATCCATATATGATTTTGACAGCGGTATATATATATATATATATATATATATATATATATATATATATATATATATATATATATATATATATATATATATATATATATATATATATATATATATGAGTCATAAGATATCGCGACTTTGTTTAAGTCTTAATCTACAGGACTATACTCTATAGTTATCAGTTGAAATTACCGATAGTAAATCACTTATTTTGGCCATTTGGTGAGCGTGCCTATCCATGCTCAGCTGGAGTTCACGAAACGAAAATATATTTACCGATGGTGAATAATCTTTTCCGTCGGTATGCTTGCGAGAGTATTGGACATGTATGAGGGATAGTAACGTGAAGAAAGGAGATGTAGTTTTAGTATTTGACGAGAACCTTAAGAGAGGATTTTGGAAGTTAGGTAGGATTGAGAGTTTAATTGTCGGTAGAAATGAAGTGGTTCGAGGAGCGAAAGTGAGAGTGATGACTAAAGGAAATCCAGTATATCTTAATGGACCAGTTCAGAAATTGTATCCTGTAGACTTAAATGAGAATGGAAGCAGTACAGAAGAAAGAAAGGATAATAAAGTTGAAAATGAAGTGGATGGGTATGATAACCAGAAAGGAAAGACGAAAATTAATGAGAAAGGAAAGACGGAAATGAATGAGAAAGACGGAGAGAAGGGTAAGGTGGAAAGCTGTGTCCATAGTAATAGACCTAGGAGAGCAGCAGCTTTGGATGCACATTGGAGAACACAAGTCATGTTTGACCCTTACAGGCTCAAAGGGGGGAGTGTGTAGAATAATTTGTAACATTATACTATTAATAACGCCGTATAGGAGACCAAACAATGAGTGGTTTAATTGATTGACGTAAGAAATGTATCGTATGTCATAAATAATAGACTTCGAATTGATTGTCAGACTGAAAGCACGAGAGAAAACCAGAAGGATTGTTTGTAATATATTTTATCGATTGAATAGTTTTAAATAAATAAGTTTTAAAGTACGCGTGTGTGTTCTATTTCCAATGGTATTGTTCTGATAGTATACAGTCCCCACGAAGCGCAACTGTCTTGCGGTGTAAGACAGAAAAGTGCAACAATTACAAACAGTGTTCCCTTGATATTTCCTAATTATTTGCCAAGGATGCAGAAATTTTTGTTTTCGGATACACAAAGTGGTTTGCATTACTTGAATAAATGCATTTATTCATTATAAAATCTTATTTAGGTCATTATTGCTAAATTAAGAACAGTTCTCCACAAACCTAGCTTAAATTCCTTGACTATCTCACTGAATTCTTTAGGAAAATGGGGAGCACTGTTCAAAATCATGCAAGATATAGTTATAATTTATTTATTTCGAAGCAAATAAGTTGACCATTAAATATCATTATCAAAGATCGTTATATTATTTGTAAATATTAAAATTTAATAGATTTACAATGAATTTTTTGATGGAGTAATGTATGGACGTATGACTTTATGTTATGCATATCTGGGCGTGAAACATTATAGGTTGTAAGTGCTTATTACGTCAATGACTAAAGCGATTTGGTTATAACTTGTAATCTAAAACAAACTTAGCAAAGCAATGTCCACAAGCTATTTAGTCGTCAAATGTAACTTGTGAAATATATACAAGACTACAAATTACGGCTCAAATACTTGTTTCCATCCGATTTTAATTTTCAAAATGAGCACACGCCCATAACGTTGTTAGATTAAGTACGATTAAAGTGAAAATTCTAAAAAGCATATATGTATGAAATAGCGTACTTTAATATTTCATTATTATTATATTTTATCATTATTATATTTTATTATTATTATATTATAAATGTTTATTATTTATTTAGACGCACGTTATTAATACGCAAAACATAATTAAAGGTTCACTAACGATTCAAAGATTAAGGCCAATGTATTTTGATGAAACAGAAATAAAAATGTTAGATAATGCACATTCGGATTGTCCGAATATAAAAATGAAACTAAAATTTATGTACATATATAATATTGACTCAGAATGTACCGAAGCATTATTTACGTGTTCTACACGAATATTAGGAGGCTTCAAGTGTTCTAGATGATTTCGTTGGGAGTTATTGAAAACCTACAATCCTTCACAAAAATTATGAGACTATCCATGTGAGTGTATAATTTCTTCTCCCCTCCCCCCTTCAGAGCAATGTTGCTCGTGATTGAGTTAAAATTGTGTAGCACAATGCTTGCAATAACAGTCAACATTGTTTTGAAGGGGGAGGGAGGGGGGTGGGAGGAAGGACGAGCTCCTGAGGGTAAGAATTTGCTAATTTTACAGATAAATATGCAAGTCTCAATAATTTTTGTGAAGGATTGTCTTAATAAATCCTAAGACTTGGTGTTTTAAACAATTTCAGATTCTTTATAAATGAGTTGTGTATATGGGAATAATGCATTGCATGGTTCACATAATAAGTTTCACACGTTATTGGAACGTTTGTCGCACAGAGTAGGGCGTGGCTTTTTGGGTGTAACCCATACTCTTGATTGATGTCACCCACATGATCACACTCGCTGCTAACCTTAATTAGTTAATTAGTTAATGTTAGTCGTTTATCAATGTGTATCTGGGTGGTAGTCAGAGTAGGTGGGGGTTTGGAGGGGGGGGGTGGGGGTGACAAAAAGGGAAGGAGAAAGGCAAATAGGTGATTGATTCTCCTCACCGTTCCTTATATGCATATTATGTGTATATTTCTGATAATATAATATTAGACACTTGATATATAAAACAAACAAATCATGCACGAAAGCAACTTATTCGCAGTTTTGTACAAGGTTAAAGCGACCTTGTTGAACTATTCGCCAGACTATTATTGATAGAACAATTGAGTCCATGGACAAACACATCGGCATGGTGATCAAGTCAAAAGGACAACGCATTAAATATTACATTTTGTGGCAATTTAAGTGTGTAATGTCCTTTAAATGCCATGTTTCTCATCAGTATGTAAGCCAAGTTAAATAGGATTAAATTATATTAAACTTATGTTGTTATCTCCATTGCATTATAAACTTTATAAGTAATAAACTGTTTGATAACGAACGAGTTACCCACGAGTTACCCTAAAAATCAATATACTTTTCACTATAATAGAACGAGTTACCACTTAAAAATTTAAAAAAATAAATTATAATTTTTTTTTTCTAATTTTTTTAGTGGTAACTCATGGTAACTCGTTATATTGTAGTAAAAACTATATTGATTTTTAGGGTAACTAGTGGGTAACTCGTTGGTATAACTCGTGCAAAACACATTCATACTTATATGTACTCGAATTCGGAAGAAACTATTCCAAGCAAACAATGTAAGATCTCTGACCGATCTGAAATAGCCCTGACCGTAAACTTCATGTAAAGCGTGTTAAAGTAGCAGCATATATAAATTTAAAAAAAACAACGAAACCTGCAGGAAATCGGAAGCGTTGCAAATATAAATCATTCTTATTTTGTTTGAACTTCAACTTTCTATGTAAAAATTCTTTGTGCCATTGATAAAGTCGAGTTTTCTGTTTCGTAAGTACGACGTTCATTTTGTTTGAACAAATTTATCAATTATCGTCTTTTAAGATGCTGTAAAGTCCGTATAACAAACGCTTTCTTTACATATTTTTGAACTGCTATATTTGTAAGTCATGTTAATATACTAACTGAATATCTAACACTTTTCTGGTTCGCTATGTTGTAAACTATATAAACTCCACGTTTCAGTTCGAAAATTTAGAAAGATGCAAAATTTTGGCAATGTTTATATCTGTGGGTCCCCTTTGTTATGAGCAGAACTGATGCACAAGAACGGATTTTACAGCATCTTTAAATTAATATAATAATTCAAATTTATTGATTTGGGATTTATCTTGAACCTTTCTGTCTTTATTCAAATTGCAAAAATGTTAAGCTTCTGCATGAACGACGTACAATTTGTTTCTTGCCATGATAAAAAACTCCAAGAATAATCAATATAAACAGTATTAGAGCACAGTAGCCTCCCCCCCGCCTCCCTTCCCCCCCTTAACACCAGTTTCTTACAAACCCAAACTGTTTGTTTTTCTTACGTTACTTGTATACTAAGCTAAATGCACAAAAGAACATAATGTCAAAAAAAGAAAGAAGACCGTGTACCCTTTCTCAATTTCTCTTAAATTTCAGACAATCCTTCACAAAAATTATCAGACTACCCATGTGAAAGTATAATTTCCTCTCCCCTCCCCCCTTCAGAGCAATGTTGCTCGTGGTTGAGTTAAAATTGTGTAGCACAATGCTTGCAATAACAGTCAACATTGTTTTGAAGTGGGGGGAGGGGGGTGGGAGGAAGGACGAGCTCCTGAGGGTAAGAATTTGCTAATTTTACAGATAAATATGCAAGTCTCAATAATTTTTGTGAAGGATGGAAGCGTGCGCGTCGTAATGTTGATAATTATGACGTCATATAGGGGAGGTGGGTGTTACTATGAATCATAATAATCCCGTACGCGTATATTAAGTAAGGCTGGCTACAAAATAAAATTGAATAATATACATTTCGATAATTAGATTCATTTAAGGATGATTTACACAAGAAAAATCACAGAAAAGACAAGGGCTTTGGTACTTTATTATAGAAGGGAATCGCGGGGTTTTTCGAATAGGGAGATCGCGAGAAAATGTCATGTAAGCTCTTCATCAGTAGCATAGAGGGAAGACCAACAACCAGCTGAAGCATGTTTCATTGCGTGGTTGGAATGTGAAAAATGTGGCTTTGATCAACAACAGCGCTACGTTCGGTGCTATTTTGCATGTAATGCGTTGAACTTCTTGATATGTTGAAACTCTTCAGTTTTAACGGTTCTCCTAATTCACCTTTCTGTAAAACACCATGTGAAATTTGTTAATAATATTAGAATACCCATTTTTTCCAAAATATACAGAAATGTAATTTAATCGTGCATGATCAGTGTTTGAATAGATTAATGCAATTTCAGTGCAGCTGTTATTATGGTAAAAATTCATATTAATATTTATACGTAGAATTCAAGAATTCCACCCTAGACCATTATATCAGAAAACATCTTAAGGTGAACTACGGTGTATGACAAATAATTTTTTCGGTTTAATCTGAGAATTTATTGCTTAAATTATGTTATAATTAGGGCATGTTTTCAGTGTAAAATTAGGTACATATATACATGCGGTTTCGTACACTTATGTATAGACTTTGTACACTGACAGCGGATATATTGAAGTCACAAGTCAATCTCCTCCGTCTTCCTGACCATTTTGTGTAGTGTATCTCATCAAAAATCAAATTACTTTTTTTCGCATGTAATTGTTTAAATTTGAGTTGAAATATTTCTTCACGTCCTGAAGTTTCGAGTTGACACGACTTGAAACAGAACGTTGAGGTGACCCGCCTTGCGAGTGGAGAAATTTCAATTTAAGTAGAACAATTTCAATTTAATTAAGAGCAACTAGAATCCACCTTGGAATAAATTTTGTGCCGTGCTGAAGTTTTGGGTTGTCTCGACCTGAAACAGAACGTGAGGCGGCGCGCCTTGCGAAGGTTACAATTTTAGTTCCTTGTAGGTTCTGTTGCATTCAACAGGCAAAATGATGCATGTGGGGAATCCTCGCAGGAATAAAATTATGCTCAAAAGTATACTATGAAAATAGGTGAAATATTCTACACCTAATGGGAAGGAAATAAACAAAAATAATTTAGGCAAGTTTACAACAAGTTGTATTAGCAAACACATGTAAAGTCAATTAAAGGCTAGTCAAAAAGCCCAAATGTACCGGAATTCCCACACACAGTTTACGTAGTGTTTCCACAAACCTAAAATTATATATTGCTTATTATCTTATTACTAAAGTTTCTTAATTAAGATGGTCCCTTTAATTTTTAAACATGTGAAAAATTCATGATTGTATAATTATCGTGATGGTGATGGTTATTTTTTTATTTTTTATTCCACAAACAAAATATTATAAACAAACATATTTTCTAAAATTTGGCTTATTCATGCAGATTCGATAGCAAGCATAACATGGTGTCGGAAGGTGTGAGCTTTAAGAGCTCTTTCGTAATATTTATTATATTGACCATACTTATTAAGAATCTGCCTAAAGATACGAGAAATGACACACATATAAATCAAGTAAACATTGAAAAACTCGTAGCCGCATGGGAAACTTGTCAAGTGAAAATTTCTTCCGTAGTACCGAAGTCGGCGATAGAGCGAGACCTGAAGGCAAGACAAATTCTAACGCCGAGCAGCAAATGTGTGCTGGCTATTAGACTGCTAAACTGTTGTTTAGCAGCAAATCTCATTCTGCTATGTAATGATGTAAATGAAAATCCAGGTCCTGATCAAGTTAACGTTTCAGAGATTAAAGGCCTTCGTATTATTCATCTCAATGTATGCAGCCTATGCAATAAGATGGCTGAAATCCGCCTTTTCTGTGATAGACACAAGCCACACATTCTTTCATTGAACGAGACGTGGCTTGATGGATCATTTCCTGATAATCAAATGTCACTAGCTGGATATAGACTTATTAGACAGGATCGAGATTGCTATGGCGGTGGTGTGGCAGTTTATGTGGATGAATTAGCCCTGGACTTTGAACGTCTGGAAGTAATTACTGACATTGAAGTTATATGGTTTGAGTTGAAGCCGTCGAAGGGTAAGAATATACTGTTTGGAGCTTTCTATAGACCTCCTAACTTTGATGCTATAATATTTGTTGATAAGCTTGAAGAAATGTTAAGAACCTTTGCTCGGGATGATATTGAGATGGTTTTATTGGGAGATTTTAATTTTAATTTGGCGTGCACTGCTTCATTAAATACGTCAGCTAGACGTTTTCTACGAGCCACAAGACGGTTTTGTTTACAACAACTGATTAAAAAGCCCACCAGGGTTACAGAAATTTCAAGTTCATTGATCGATTTAATATTCACTACAAAGCCTGAACTTTATCGTTCTGGAGTATTCCCGGTCGGTTTTACGGACCATTTTGCTATCTTTGGGGTGAGAAAATTACATCGAGTAAAGTCCCTTCCACCTAAATTTATTCGGGCAAGAAATTATAAACATTTCGACACTGATTTATTCAAGTGTGACATTAGTCATGTCCCCTGGGACATTATTGAGATGGAAAATGACCCTGAATTTGCATGGAATTTATTTAAAGACATGTTTATGTCAGTAGCTGATAAACATGCGCCCATTATTGAAAAACGTGTCCGAGGTAAGTCATTACCCTGGATAACACACTACATTAAAGATCTTATGAAGCAGCGAGATTATCACCACAGAAAGGCAATTAGCACTAATAAAGAAATTCATTGGAGTAACTATAGAAGGCTACGAAACACCGTAACAGCGAAACTTCGGAAGGAAAAGGAGGTCTATTACAAAACACAGTTAACGGGCAAAATTGAATCTAAAGAAATGTGGAAAACGATAAATGAATTACTGTGTAAGAATAGATCATATGGAAGTGGTATAAACGTAGCTCTAAATGCCACGAGTTTTAGTCAATTTTTTTCGACAATTGCAACAAAATTATGCAATATTTTTAGCTCGGTTTCCTCCATGCCCAAGATCTTATCTCCGAGAATTGTAAAAGATTTTGTGATACGCGAAGTTTCTGTTGCTTTTGTCGTGAATGAATTGACTACGTTCAAACTTTCTAAAGCAACAGGCCTTGATGGAATAACTGCTAGACTCTTAAAGGATTCTGGTTCTGTATTAGCAAAACCGATTGCGCACATAGAAAACTTAACTATCACTACTGGACAAATCCCTTCTGAATGGAAAGAGGCAAAAGTAATCCCTGTCTATAAAAAAGGCAAAAGGAATGATACAGACAACTATCGACCCATTTCGGTTCTTCCATTGATCTCGAAAGTGATGGAACGAGCTATACAATTACAACTTCTTAATTTCATTAAGGAGAACAATATCCTTTCCACCCATCAATCAGGTTTTCGAAAACAGCACTCTACGGAAACTACTGTTGTGTCACTCGTTGATAAAATTCTCGATAATATGGATAAGCAAAAAACTACCGGTGCTGTTTTTATAGATTTAAAAAAGGCTTTTGACCTCGTGGACCTCGATTGCTTGCTTTACAAACTGGAACATTATGGTATAAGGGGGAGCAGTCTACATTGGTTTCAAAACTATCTAACTACACGCTCACAAAGGGTAAAATTTGGTCAAGATTTATCGGACAGTGCAAGTATTGACCATGGTGTTCCCCAAGGTTCAATACTTGGACCTTTACTTTTTATCCTGTATATAAACGACCTTCCGAAATGTCTTAATGACTGTTCTATAAGTATGTATGCGGATGACACTATGATTCATTACTCTGATAAATCAACTGCTAAAATTCGAGACGTTTTACAAAATGACTTTAATAGGTTGGTGATATGGCTGGAACAAAATAGGCTGGTTATAAGTGAGGAAAAGACCAAGACAATGTTATTTGGAACAAAGAAAAAACTTGATGCGGCTCAAGATCTCAACATCCGTCTGTATGGGCAGAATATTAAACAGGTCGAGCAATTTACCTATCTAGGAGTTGTTTTGGATAAACACTTAAACTGGAAGGACCATGTGGAAGAGATGAGTATGAATATTGGCACAAGGTTAAAGATAATGAGCAGGATTAGAGCATTTTTAACATTGGAGGCTGCAAAAGCTGTTTATAATGGATTAATATTACCCATCTTTGATTACTGCGATGTAGCTTGGGCACAATTATCGGAAGGTTGCAGTCAAGAATTACAACGCCTTCAAAACCAAGCGGCTCGTCTTGTTCTTAAACGATCGTCCTCTGTTGACACATTTAGTGTCTTAAACTGGATAAGTTTACAAAGAAGAAGAGAAATGCATGTTTGTATTTTTGTTTATAAATGTCTAAATGACCTTTATCCTAGTAATATAAGCGAACTTCTTATTCAAAACTATAAGATTCATCAACACAATACAAGGAGGAAAAACGATCTACATCTTCCTAAGATGAAGCTTGAACTTGGTAAGAGAACCTTTAGATTTAATGGACCTTTACAATATAATAAATTGCCTATTAGAGTTAAAGAGGCAACGACACTTTCTAGTTTCAAAACTCAAATTTGGAATTATTCACGTAATTGATAGTGTGAATTGCATGTTTAAATCTTATTATACTACATACATTTGTGTAAAATAATTTAAATGCAGGTCCCTCATGAATACCAGCTTTCAGCTGAAGAGGCTAACCTGTTTAAATAAAGTTTTCCAATCCAATCCAATCGTCTATTCAGGCTATAGGAAAATGTTTTATGAAATAAGAAATGGGAGTAACCAGGTGTTTTTTCAAGTAGAGTGCAATGCAATAAATCGGTATTGTCATAGCAACAATGCTGACGTCATTTATTAACTGAATTATATATTATTCTCTTCCGTTGATATACAGCATTCCAAGCAGCTTGTTCAGCAGTAATACTACCTATTTTTCGCAAGTATAGAGGATTTGCGAATTATGACGATTCCGTAATTGATTTTACGAGTGTAACTATATATTAAAGGTTAGGATACCCCGCCCCCCGTTTACAGGTACCCTAATGGAGCTTGCATGATAATCCTATTTTACTACCCGTGAATGGGAACCGGGTATCTTTACCTCTGTATTATGTTAACCAAGCGGGTTGTGGGTTAACAGCATCTAAATATACCCGGAATGTGAATAACCATCTATATTTGACCTACATTAAAATTGTTACTCCTGTTCCAAGCCTTGACTTAAGGGACCGGTCATTATTTATGGCGAGGGGTAGCACCGAAGAGAAATGTTTTTCGTAGCAAAAATTTTGCTGACCCAACCATTAAAAAGTAAAAAAAAATGATTACCCAACCTCAAATATCAATTAAAAAATAAATACCCACCCCTGGCCAAAAAATTTACAAGTACCATTCAGTTGTCACATATGTCCTTTACCACTTCTGTGACATAAGTTTGATAACGGATTGTGAAATTTTCTGCAGTCTGAAGTTTCATGTTGTCTGCACATGTAGCTACTTTCTTTGGAGATCCCATCGGAAATTGATCAAGATAATGACTCTGATTGATATATACTTTTCGTTGTTTCTTTACACATTTAGTAAATCTTAGTATAACACCAAGTTCATCAATTGCTGCTATTTTGCTAGCAAATCCATGTATAATAAACCCGGGTGTTTTGCAATCAAAAGTGATGCAACCTGGATAGTGGAATAAGTTGCATGTTTACTGTAGGCACAATTTTTGGCCACTTACAGGTAAACTACGTGAAGCGTTTCTCTTTTGACTTCGTAACTCATTTGGAATTTTCCTCATTAGCTTTGCAAATTTGAAAAACTCTTTGCAAATCCCTTTAGGGAATTTGCAATATTCCTATCGGCTGTTGCAATATTCCAACGCAAACAAACTTCATTTTAAATTTTCCTAACTTCCTGTTTATTTTCCTGACTTCCTGTTCTGTTCTGAGCGTTGTTATTGGTCGATTATTTTTGTTAGTCAATTGCAACGCCCAAAACAGAACAGGAAGTTAGGAACTTGTAACAGGAAGTTAAGAACTTCTAACAGGAACTAAGGGAAATTTTATTGGCTTTTAACAACATTGCAAATTTCTTCAAGGGATTTGCAAGGGAGTTTTTTAAATTGCAAATGTAATGAGGAAAATTGCAATCAATTTAGAAACTCAAAAGAGGAACGCTTCACGTAGTTTACCTGTAATAGTCAAAGGTCATGCATAAATAAGAACAGTCTTTAATATTACCGCCTTACGCAGACTTTATATTAATTGTGCTACTCTAGGATCTAGAAGTTAGTTATGTTAATTCATTATATATAGGATCAATGTTAAAGGCAAGGTGGGCTATAAGCTATAATCATTTGTATGGCTTATAGAAGGCTAATTGCTGCGAATAAATTGAATAATGAATGTAGCACAATATTAAATAGTTGCATGATGACGTCAAAGAAACTAGTCAGACTACATTTGCAAGTTTTGAAACTCTCATCGCTTAAATTCCCCATACCTGAATACAAAATAAACAGTAAACAACGATTACCTTTTACATACCATATATAAAACGGAGTTTTCATCCTTTCTAGAAACTCACTTCCTGAACTTTTGAGCGCAAATGTAATGTATTAAAAATGTATATCATATTCATAGCGGTTAATACCATTAATATATCGCGGGCGCAATACAAAACAAAACACGAGAATTTTAAAATGTTTTGATTTGCAAATAAATAAATAATATTTGATGTCATAAAAATTTTTAAATTTAACTCAACACAAACTGGTAAGTTCATGACATGTATAATTTACTTATATGTTTTATATTGCAATTCTGTACCCTACTCCTTTGAAAATTATTTGCAATTGCATATGATATGAACATGTGGTCATGTATTATAGTTGTGTCATGAATTTAATAATACCCCAATGGCTTCGAAATAGACAATGGATGGAAAAAGTCATGAATATTGAGCTTATTTACCCTTTAAACACTTGATCGTCATGCGCATACAGTGTATTGTTTGTTTCCAGAACCACCTCAGTCAGACTTCAACTTTTTTTGTTAAATTGTATATTTTGCTTCATACACTGCATGTCCTGCATATGTGTGTGTTTGTGGGAACACTCATGTTTGGATGCTTGGCATAGGTTAATGGTAATTTCATTGGAGTCATCAGGGATATAGTTGTATATTCCTGAAATTACCACTAAACACCTAAAACAGCATTCCCTAAAATTTTAATTGTTTTCTTACATTGCCCTATATCGCTCAAACTCGCATTGCTTAAATTGCAGATTTTGCTTAAATCACCTAAAATTGCTTAAACTCGCATTATCTCGTTATTGCCCCAGAGTAGGGCCTACTGTTGCCATTGCTTTTTAGTCCCCAATACTTCAGTGAGTCATGCTTTGGAAATGACAATAATTTTTTATTACCCATGCAACCCTCGAGTTGTTTTGTTTTTCATTTACCCAACCTTTTACTTACTCAAAATTTAGTTTACCCAACCCTTTTCTCTTCGGTGCCACCCCCACCATAAATAATGACCGGTCCCTAATTGGAATGCTGTCATCACTTACGACTAACTGGTCCCACAGTTTAAAAATTGCTTATAGCCATTTATTTCATTTCGCTGTTCAACTTAAAAAATTTTATAATCCATTTAACATTTTAGGATGATCCAGACTCGAAAATTGACTTGCACAGATCACCCAAGTTCCCTTAAAATGGTCCTTGGAGCAGTACCCTGGATCAGGGGGTTTCCTGTTTTGCTGTAGCCTGCACTCAGGCGGTGCTGGCCAAATTGGAAACCCCCTGGGCGCGATGTGTTGATTGATTGAGTTCGCCGAACCAGTCAGATGCCTAGGGTCAGATTTTGACCCTAGACATCTGATTGGTTTCTCGGGTCTTATCGGCAAACATCAATAAACGTTTGCTGTATTCTATTCTATTTATACTGTTCGACAAGTGAGTGAATTTCGTTAACAAAAAGCAATTGTTTGTGGAAACGTTTATGAGGAGAATTTGTTGGTTGTCGTCTCAGATGAAGTTCATGTTATTCCTAAACAGTTAGATCAAATAGCGTCATTGCAGACATATTAATATCACGCTATGATGATGCAATGATTCTGTATATATGTCGAGTAATTGAGCGGAATTTTGTCGTGTGTATGTGGTCGTGTTGTGCTGTACAGCCTGTACTATATTTGTACTGTGTATGTTCAATTGTTTTTCATGTAGTTTGTTATTTTAAAATTGTGTAGCCCGTATTGTGGAATTCATGAATATTTATGACAAAATTCAGTCGTGGCAAGGCAGTTGGGCTAAATATATTATATATTTTGTATGTAAATATACACAATGTAAAGTCCGAAACAGATATAGAACGTTCTGTATCATCAAACCTGAAAGTAATAATTCAATAACTGTCAATCTTCCCAGAGAATATATTACATTTTCCTCTTCCGAATACAACAATTAATGTAACATTGGCAAACACAACAAAATTGGTCAGGGGAATATGTTTTTGTTGAATACTTTTGAATAGGCCTACGTACTGGAC